ATATATATAGTGTATATATATATATATGTATATATGTATATATATATATGTATATTTATATTATATATATATATATATTATATGTATATGTATATGATAAGTATATATAATATATATATATATGTGTTATATATATATATATATATATATATGTATGTGTATATATATATGTAAGCTCCTTATTTATATCAGGCTATATATATATTATGTATATCATGTATATATAATCTTATCTCGTATATATTTATATGTATAGTATTATAATATATATCTACGCATCTTGTTAATGTATATTATGATATTAATATTATAGTTATAATTCATATATATATTTATATAGTATACCTAATATATAGTGATTATATATAATAGATATATATATATATATTTATGTGTATATATATTTATGTATGTGTTTATAAGATATATATAATATATGGATGATATATTATTATCTAAATGTGATAATGTTTATATACGCTCGCTCTATATATATTGCATATATGTGTACCATATATATATATATGTGTACTTCTTATATATATACTATATACTATATGTGTATTATAGCTATATATATCTATATATCATATACTATTGTTGTATCTATATATCATATATATTTCATATATGTCGCTGTATATATGTCGAATATTATCATATATATATATATATATATGTGCGTGTTTCTATCGTGTATATATATTGTTATTGTTTATATTATACTGTCTCTATATATGTGTATATATCGTGTATTTATATATGAATATTACCACACATTATGATATATAGAGTTATATGTATGCTATACGTTGTATATATGCATGATATATTCACGCGGTATATATACTGATCATATAAGTGTATTATTTATGTATATACGTGCATTCTGATGTTAGCTATGGTATTTGTGTAATTATTATATGTATAATACGTGTATATATATCATGTATGTATACGTGTGTATATATATGATAGATAACGTGTATTATTATATGTATATACGGTATATGACTATGTTGATTACAGTGTGTATTATATATAGTACCAGTGACGTTAACCAAACCACTTCCCCCCACCCCCCACCACCCCATACTACACATACGATCGCCACGCAGCCACCAATCACACCCCCAATCCCACTCAACAGCCAACCACTTCCGCGACCACTCCATGCCACAGCCATACTACGGCGATTATACTATATGTATATACGTTCGTGTATCAGATATTATGATATATACGTGTACTATTTATGCGCTACTATATGACGGTGGTGTATATATGTTTTACGTGTGATACTATATTAGTGTATATATTAGTGTAATCTATATGCTGTATATACGTGGTGTCATATATACAATGTAATATACGAGTGTATATTACTTTGTACTATACGTGTGTATATTTAGGTACTTATAACGCTGTTTACTCTACTATTTATATTAATCTATATTTATATCGCTATATAAGATGTATATATACGTGTTATATTATTTTAACCCGTTTCATGCCATGAATTTACGAGTAGTTAGTTTATGTTATGATTTTTTTACCAAGTGTTTTTATTACTCTTTATGAATGAAAAAAACATTTTCATAAATTTTTTTTAAAAATATACTTTCTTTAGGGAGTTGGTAACATGTCCACTTGGGTGGACAATGCGCATTTGTGCAACTGATATAACCTTGTTTTGTTTTGTTTCAAAGAAAACTATTGTTACTTGATGGCCCCATATTTTTTTTACCTGCAAGGATCGCCTAGAATAGAAGGAATGAGCAGATATTCCTCTCCCTCACAACCCATGTGCTCCTCTGTCAGCCATTTTGTTTTTTTTGAGGAAAAAAAAGTCACTTGCAAAGGCTGAGGAGTAGGTGGCAGTTTGACAAGTGGCAGGATGATACATTAGCGTCCACTGTAGTAACATATGTGCAAATGTGACATTAAAACATGTTCATTTAAGAGAAAACAACCATTTAATAACTGTCCACTGTAGTGACCACTATGCATGAAAGGGATATATATATATATATACGTATATATACGTGTATATATATATATATATATATATACGTATATATACGTGTATATATATATATATATATATATATATATATATATATATATATATATACGTATATATATACGTATATATACGTGTATATATATATATACATATATACGTATATATATGTATACGTATATACGTATATATATGTATACGTATATATATGTGTATATATATATTATTATCGTAATAAATAGGTCAGTGTTCTCATAAGCTTTTGTTTTTTAGTATTACGAGTAATAAAAGTATGTTATTTTTGCTAATTACTTATCAAGTAGGGCTGCAACTAATGATTATTTTGCAAATCGATTAATCTTTTGATTCTTTTTTTCGATTAATCAATTAATAATCATATAGAAAAAAATTACTTAAAGATGACTTTTTACAATATTAAACTACGTGAACCCAAAACTTTTCCACTTGAGTAGTTCTGGGTAAAAAGTTTTTTTTTTTTTTTTTAAATGCAAAATGTTTATATATTTTCTTTACAATTTTGCTACAATTGGTGCTTGAATTGGGTCGCTCTGTCAGCTAATGTCATGTTTTAGTCTTTACTCCAGTTAACAATTAATCAATTGATTATTTCAATAATCTGTTAATCACAATTAATCCGATTGTGTCAGCCCTAGTTAAAAGGCAATATCGATAAGCTATCGGTTAGTGCTGAAAGAGGCAATGTCATAAATTAAAAAGTTGTATCAGGACATCCTTATTGACTAATTTGTGCAGTGCTATGTGTTGCAGGTAATCTTCATAAAACACAGGACTATGTGCAAATAATGCTATCTGACATAATTTTTCCTTCCTGTATGAAAAATCCTTTAGAAATGGTCTCTTTGCCTGTAGTTCCTTTCTGATCATACAGCTTGAAAGAAAGAGATCAGATCAGTCAGTCATCAAGTCACAGTGCCAGAATAATCCTCAGATTTTTAAACTGACAAGTGAGACTGAATATTACAAGACAAAACAAACAGAGCAGCAAGAAGAGTTCTTTGGTGCAAATAGAGCTGGGTTGCAGTATTACAGCGTCTATCTAATCTGACAGCCAATGTGAGGATCACAGTACAGAGCTCAATCAGTAATTCCCAACATGCATTTTATCCTCATCACTCCACCGTGGTATACTCTGTACCCTTTTGGTCGCTATAATACCAAAAGTATTATCTGTGGCGGAAGAAAAAAAAAAGACCTTTTCAGTAAACAGCAACATATTCATTAGATATATGCTTGTTTCAGATACCTGAGTCCCAAACCTGAAATTACGAAATATTTTTTAACTGAAAGCATCCAGAGCCAAAAGCATTTAGGTTTCAGAATAGCAGTCTATATTGCAATGATACCGTTCTTTAAATTTCTTTAAATTCTCACCAAATAAGAACAATAACAATGGTTTAGCCATCAGATGCTGTTTATGCTTTAAATCGCACAGAAAAAAGTTGTAAATACCAGGAAAAATAGTTTTATTCTGACCTTTACACCATGTTTTTTATTAGGTAATGCAGCCTTTACCTCATCCATGTCTGCTTAGATCTTGTTGTTGAGTAGGGGTGTGGGAAATAATCGTTTTGGCGATATATCGTGATATTCGGCTGCCCAATATAATATCGATCTTTCACTTCTTAGTATCGATAAAAAAAAAAAATGGTTACATAAAACATTGATGGGAAAATGGGCTACCTCTGCACCACCACTCTGGCAAAAAGCGCTGTGGAGTAGGGCTGGGCGATATAGAAAAAAAGCTTATCGATAAAAAAAAAAAAATGCATATTGATCGATATCGATAATTATTGAAAAGATATGAAACCATATTTTATGTGCAGGTCTGCCTGGACTTTTTATAGTATTGCTAAATGATTTAATTTTAATAACCAACTTTTTTAACCATAACAGAATTGTTTTGAAGAAAAATAACTTAAGAGACGTGGGTTATGTTATTAAATACTGACAAAGAATAAACTAAAGTGAGCAGAAAAGTGACCAAAATGAATATAACAAATAAATAAATCCCCCCGCCGCCCCCATTCTTCTAAGCTGAACCAGGTTCCTGCTTTAACCTGAGTTATTACTTTGAAGTTGCTGGCCCCTCAGCATTTTTCTCTGTGTAGGCCCGCGTCGGGGCCTACACAGCTCGTACTCCTGCGGGTGTGAGCGGCTGAGATGATAAAAAAAAAAAAAAAGTTGGTTGTGTTATCAGACTTCGTTTTCACTGGTTCCCTACAAATTTTACAGATGACTGTGGTTTGTTTTTTGTCCGACTTGCCATAACCGAAATACTGCCAAACTGGCGAACTACAAAAACCCTTCTTTGGAACAATTTCCTCCGCCTCTCCTTGCTGCGACTTCTTCATGTGCTCTGTGTTGTGATTTGAGAGGGCGGCGCTTTGTGACGGCGTGCCTGGGTCCGCGATTGTGATTGGTTGGGAGGAAGCAGTGACTAGCATAAACCTACATGCTAGGCTACAATGAGAAGGAAGAAAAACTGCGTTTCTTTTTTATCGAACTTTTATCGACTCTCTTTTTTTCTATTGCGCCACACGTCTATCGATCGATATATATCGTTATTGAATTATCGCCCAGCCCTACTGTGGAGCCCTTTAACTGTGCGTGCAGCACCAAATCTGTATTTGAGGCAGTCACAGTGGAAGAAAACCCCAAACAACATGGATAATAATACCTAATCAATATTTTCTGATGAAAATATACAGCACTTGCTGTTTTATCTCATCATTTGATTTTGATAGCTGGGGAAAATATGGCAATATATAGTGATACTGCAATATCGTGATAATATCATATTGTGACCCAAGTATTGTGACCCAAGTAGCGACATGTATCGAATCGCAACACTCATGCCAATACTCACCTCTATTGTTGAGGCAGATTTTTATTTAAAGTTCAAACACTAGAAATTATATTTCTATGTATTTCTTTTATTTCTCACATCTTTGATAATCCTTCTAGGATTCCATTTACCATTCAGCGGCTGTGTGAATTGCTGACAGATCCCAAACGCAATTACACTGGTACAGACAAATTTCTCAGAGGTCTAGAAAAGGTGAGATAGACACCAATGTTTATGGTCTAAAATCAATATTTTTTTTTAACTTGCATGTGTTTAAAAGCTTAACTTTGTTGCTTTAAGCTGTTTTCTGTTTTCTTTTTTTTTTATATTGCTTCCTGCAGAATGTAATGGTGGTGAGCTATCTGCATTCCATGTCAGAGTAAGTACATCAGCTTCTAAGTTAACTTTTCTCTGACAGTAAAACTATTTAATGTGGAATTAACAAATGGCCTTTTAACTTCCTGAAAAGGAAAAATGGGACATCAACTGTGAACAGAATGAATGGAGTGATGTTTTTTGGAAACTCCTCTCTGAATTCAGACAGGTGGGAGTAATTTCCCTTTCGCTAATTTAAAATTTGACTTTTTTTTTTTTTGTATACAAAACCGAAGTACAACATAATACAGGAAGAGCAGCTATAAATTTGTTCTTTGTTTTTTTCTTAAGCAGTCGAAGCGTGAACGGACCAGGCATCCTGAAAACACTCAACAGACCAAAGCTGTCGTCCTCATCTTCACTTTCCACCAACGGGCTCCCAGAGTGTTCTGGCACTAAGGAGCGAGATGGAATCACTGAGGCAGAGGAGCACCATTTGAGGTAATTATTTTTTTCAAAGTCACCCCCCACATTTATTGGTATTTGCAGTAAGGAATTGTCTTCACATTTTTCATCAAATCTTACTTAGACTTCATATTTAAAAAAGCCAAAAAACATGACTGCTCCTACTTGGTTTATCATTATGTTAGTGACAGAGATACACCACCTTCTGAAGATGAACTGAAACAAAATTATGGAATAAAGAACAAACATCTTGAAGAAGAAGAGGAATACGATGATAGCAAACAGGAACCCAAGAAACTGAAGACTAGTGAAAAAGATGATGAGATGGAAAGAGAAGATGAATCATCTGGTGATCTTGCACAAGAGAATTCAGCAGTTACCTCAAGATCACAAGAAGAAACTTGTGATCCAGAGAGCGACAGTGAAACATCCCATGATGCATCCTGTATTTCAGACAGTCATGGTAGGTGTTACTTTGTCCTAACATACTTTTACCTTTATTTACTTACTCCTAACAGTAGAGGCTATAATACTACATGTTCAAGAAGTATTTGATATAAGCGGTGGATATAAGCATTTTGCTGCTCCTCTTACATTTGAATTCCAGAAAGTTAAAATATTGTCAAGTATGAATTTGGTTAATAAGTATATAAATAAGTAGGGATGCACGATATTGGGATTTTGGCCGATATCCGATATGCCGATATTTTAAAACTCATGTAGCCGATAACCGATATCGATACCGATGTTAAGCTGGACAAAAATAAGTAGTCATTGAAAATAGCAGTTTTGTTATCCATTTCTGACACTTTGAAAAATAATATACTCAAATATATTTTCATATGCCGATATCAAGTTGATTTTTAAAAACGCGGTATCGATCTATTTTACTTTCAAAATCTCGGGAAATTTCATCGTTCTGTTACAAACTCTCGAGATATTTCGCAAATTCCTGTGAGATTTTGTTAGTAAAATAGATCGATACCGCGTCAATATATCAACATATAAAAATATGGCAAAATTTCGTGAATTTTTAGGGGATTTCGTAGCATAACGATGACGTATAGCAATATTTCATTAGTAAAAGAGATTGATATGTTGTTTTTAAATGGCAATATATCAGTATATGAAGATATTGTGATATTTTAATGTATCAATATTTTTCCCTCGTCTTTAGAAGTTTTTAAGTCTGTAAAAAAGAAGTTTTTGATGAAGAAGAAGTAGTTGTTTTTTTTTTAGACATAAGAAACTCAGAAGCTGATCATATATCGGGTTAAATATCGGTGTGGTGGCCGATGTCCGATATTCAGTTTTAAGGCCGATACAGGCCAATACCGATAGGGGGCCGATTATATCGTGCATCCCTATAAATAAGTAAAGCTCATATATTCTATATAATTCAATCCATCCATTCATACAATCTAAGGGATACACTTCATGTAGTTTTGTGAATTTGATGAAGTGGAGACTACTGGATGTTTAAAGCAGTTACGGCCTACACAGTCATGACCGATAGGTTAGATAGTAAGTATTAGAAAACCCTGATTAGTTTGAGATTTCTCCCAATAAGAAATCAGAGTGGTCTGAACATACTTGAACATACGTCTATCATCTAGAATTCTGACCCTCAAAGACCTGTTGGTCTGTCTTCAAAGGCTACGTTCACACTGCAGGCCTTGATGCTCAATTCTGATTTTTTTTTTTGCGAATCCGTGTTTTGTTTTTTTGTGTTGCTGTTCATATTTCCAAATGAATGCGACTTCTATGTGATCTCCTGTGGGAACTGCAGTCATACAACGCAAGTGTCCCGCAGGCCAGCATGCTCTGTGTTTACGGAAGTAAACATGGATGGTAGTGCATCTAGCGCATCTAGCGATCTTTCCCAACCATAAAAAAACAATCTTTTCAATATGGTTAAACATAAATACTGCTCTCTGCATCGTCGTCTGCCATGGTTGTTGTTTTTCTTGCCACTTCTGCGTAGCAAGACGCAGAATAGTGACTGTTGTCTAGTATTAATGACATTCAGGTCGGATGAATGCGACCTGGCCGTTCAGACACAGGTCGCATTTGAAAAGTTCAGATTCGTATCGGATTCAGGACCACATAGCCAAGTGGCCTGGGTCGCATTGGAAAAAAATTGGATCTGTGTTGTTCAGACTGCCATGAAAAGATCAGATCCAGGTCGCATGTGGGCCAAAAAAATCTGATTTGGGTCACTTCAGGCTGCAGTGTGAATGTAGCCAAAGTGTCCACCTCCCCTTTATCATCCTAAATTAGAGGCACCTGTTTGAGGTCGTTGGCTGCATAAAAACACATGTCCATCCCATACAATCAGTAAGAGTCCAACTACTACACCTCCATGATTTCTAAGTGGGAGAACTTACAAAATAGCAGGATGTTCAAATACTTATTTTCCTCACTGTAAGCTGCAAGTCTAAATCTTTAAAATTAATTACTTTAAATACTTGAAATACACCACTCTCTTTCATAACATTTAAATTAATCTCAATTTTAAAATTAAAATGATTTTTTTCAATGATTTTTTCCCCCTGAAATGCATCTGCATACACTCTTTCCTAGAAAAACATTATATATTTTGTTGTCCTTTCCTGGCTATTACACTTACTAAAATATTTTTCTTAGACCCCAGCTTGCATTGATCAAATGTTCCATTTGTATGGCTTTTAATCTTGCTAACTAATATACCACTTCATTGACATCCTCCTCATAAGAGGATATACTATTTAAGTATTAAACACTTGCTTACTCTCTTCAATTCCTAAACTGCTTCTTTGGTTTACCTATAAGTTTGTCAGATGTGTAAACAATTACAGATGCAAAAGAAAAATGCTTTGAACTAAAAACTCAGCCAAAAAAACAGGAGCTTACAAGACCACCAGGGGGAGTCGATCACCAAGCCACATGGCACCATATCATATTTAACTTTATAATTAGGCTGCTTCTTTATAATACTGTTTAATACATGTATTAAAAAAAAAAAAAAAAAAAAAGAAACATAACTTATTTCTTCCCTCCACATTTCTTCTGGAAATCCTGGTAATGTTAATCTGGACTGATCATTTTTTCTTAGCATTGGTTTTGTTGGTTGTAGTTTTTTTTTTTTTTTTTTTTTCTATAATGCAATGTTTCTTCTTTTGAATTGTGTTATGTTTAGGAGTGTTCATTATTAATATATTTGCAGCAAATTTGGCCATTTGTAGCATGTTTTTAGCTTTCAGACACTGCATAAACCACACACTCTAAACCAGTGTTTCCCAACCTTTTTGACTTGTGTACCCCTTTGGGCACTTTGTCTTACCATTAGTACTCCTCTCAATCAAAAGTATTAATGACTATCCAAAAGCGCAATATACAATAGCTGATTATAAAATAAAAAAATAGTTTTACTTAATCTTTTAACTTGAGAATTTAATTCCTGGGCATTTTATCCTTTCCATCTCAAATATAACAAAAAAAAAAAATATTTTGCCTGGAATTTAGTAAAGAATCAAAATAAATACAAAATAAAATCATATTATAAACCGGTATTTATAAAACGGCTCCCTTATAATCACATTTAAACTAGATGAATTTGGAACAAAATACAGACCTTAGTCAGACAGACTTAATTTGTTTTACTTTGTTTTCATCAAAAAACCTGAGCTTGCTTTGATAAGCTCTGATTGCTCAGTGTGAAAAACAGCTGATCTCAGGCTGTTCTCTACATCCAGTCTGTTCCTCTGCTCGGTTTGGATGTGTGTCAAAGTTAAAGGGGAACTCAAACATATAGGAAAAACAACTTTTTGGTTAATAAATGCTTGTTTAATTTTTCTATTGGGTCCTCAGAAAGCAAAACAGATCCTAGCCCTATTTTATTTTACTACCTAAAAAATACAAATATTTTCATGTACCCCTTGCAATGCACTTGCGGAGCACTAGGGGTACAAGTAACCCTGGTTGGGAATCACTGTTCTTAAATACAAGCATTCATATTTACTAATTTTTTCAACATAACCTCTGCACTACCTCATGCTGTCTTCTATATTACATATACAAAAATTAACTGAATCACCTGTGTGGTTCTCATTTGCAGCTTTTAATCCCCTAACACCAAAAGTATTTTTTTTACTCTATTATAGTAATAAAAAATGTATCTCTCATCCTTTCTCGTAGAGCAAAGTAGCAGCCATTCTCAACGACCTGAGAAGGAAGGAGAGTCAAGTGAGGCTAGTCCTGCCACCAGTGTACAGAGCTCTGTGGACCAGACTGAACAAGCTGCCTCATCAGAGGCACATTCAACCTACCAGGAGGACAGTGCTGTAGTCAAAAGCAGCAGTAGCGATGCAGATGCCTTATCCAATGAGAAGGCATTGTCTGGTAGTCATTCTCCTCAGTTGTCGACAGAGGTTGTTGCTGAAACCATAAACAATGCAGAGACTGCTGTAGAACCCGGAGAACAGGACTAACTTGAAAGGCATGCCCAATGACTTGTTTTTTTTACACTGTATAATACAACCCCAAGGGTATTTGTGTAGCACTGTGGACCTTTAAGCTTCAGGACCAAGAGACACATGGACCAGGGCACTTGCTCGAAGGATCTTGAAGTCCACTTCTGTTTCCGCTTCTCACGGCCACTGGTCTCCAAATCTTTAAACTGGAAGAAGACTGCCTTTTTTACTATATAAAACCTTTTTTTCTAACCTTTTCTTTTCTTAATTTTCATATCTGAACATTTAATTTAAAGTAGATGATGTATTCACTAATTTCATTAGTAATTTGGTGTTTCACAGGACATCCTTTTTACAGTTTTAGGCCAAGCACAGTACATTTTGGTGTCTTTTTGTCTTGTTTTTTTATGAAAGCTGTCTGGAGATGACAAATTGTATCGATAATGTGAAGCAAGACTTTATAAATGTCTGCTTTTATTTGTGTAAAGGACATTACACAACTATATTTCTTGCTATTGTGCACTTCACCCCTTGAAAACTGCAAAAAAAAGTCGTTTTGCATTGTCTTTGTATGAAGCCAAAATCACAGCGCTGAAGGGAGCGCTTTTGTTAGGTCAAACCTTGCTTTGCCATTTCCAGTTTAATCACTTCAGTAAATCAAAAGGTACTTTACCTTCTGTGTGTCATAACATCATTGTACAGCTGTCCCTTTTTTGATAGATTTTTACAGTGCATTCTTACAGTACACTCTGTAAATAAGCTTTTGTAGACTTGTAATATGTGTCCACATACTTAGTAAAACTGACTGCTGGAATCTGAAGGCTTGAGCTTGTGTGATGGTATTTACGGAAAGCAATAAAAGCCAAAATTTGAATTGATCTAGTATCTTGTTTATTTGAGTTGCATATGACAAGGGAATTGTGTAAAAAGCAGCTGGATTTTTTTCTATGTCATTAAATGCTATTGTTTACATTTGAACTCCTGATGTGTGATTGTTGAAATTCATGTCATATAGTAAATTTGTGCACCAAAGCTCCAAATTAAATCCGTATTTTATTATAGTTAAATAATCTCATAATTTTTTGCTTGAGTTTTATTGCATGTTTTGAAGATTTCCTTTTTATTCCATTTCCTTGACTTTTCTTCATTATACCATGTTTGAAAATACAGTGCCTTGAAAATTATTCACATCTCTAGACTATTATATTTTTAATCTTCCACTTTACCACATCCAGCGTCTTTTATTGGGAAATCTGAAAAGTATGTATCTCAGAAATCACTTAAAGGAAACACTTTAACTTTTAGCCACAAGGGGTGCTAGATCTGTAACTTCAAGGTTCAGCTCCCCTTATTTCCACTTCTACAACACTACACTGTCTCAAAAAATGCAACCGCCCCCCCCCTGTGTTTTGGAATCTGATAACAGACCAAGTTGGACCAGCAGGTTGAAAAGACATTGAGTTACTTGAAAAGCCAAATTCGTAGCACTAGATTAAATCTTACATCAGCAAAATGTCTGTCCAGGTGTTTTAAATTTCTTGTTTTCCAGCAACAAGCTTTAGCTTAGCACTCGTGTTTAAGGGGCTCAGACTGCTGTAAAGTGATGCTCTAGGACACGTCATACAGGGATGGATCGGACCTGAATGATATAAGTTTTGTGTGCACTCTGTGTATACAAAATGACAGTTTGTCTAAGCCTAAAAGTCAGAAGTTTTTGAGAAGGGCATCCTGAATGGAGAATCGATATGTGCACAGTGCTGTATATTGACCTGAAAAATCACTTCATGTTTCTTAAATTATGCTACATATGTCAAAAGTTATGTAGGGTTGTCTTAATTAAGCCTCAGTATAAATTCAGCAACAAAAAGTATCGCAAAGACAAAACAAAAAGGCTACAGCAAAATGGTCAGCTATAAATATGTAGAGACGTTTAAAGCAGGGTTTAGGTATGTAACAATAATCTAACTTTGGCCATCTAATGGAGTGCTGTGATCTGGCTTTACAGCTAAAAGATTGGAATATGCAGGTTAAGTAAAAGGAAACAAATATCTGTGAAAATCTGCAAATCAAGAATAAATGTTTTGTTCTTTAAAACTCAGCCTAGATGAGACATTCAAATCTGTGATCAGCTTCTTGATGCTGGAGGATAGATTTGATAAGGGAACGCATTCCTTACATCTGCTCAATCCATCATCTCAAAATGGAACAAAAAAATGGAACAGCTGCATAACAAGACATGGCTGTCCGCCTGAGCCTGCAGACTGGGAAAAGAGATAATTTATAGTTATTGTTTACAGTTCAAGTGGGAGATTCTGTTGACAGAACTCCAAAAATCTGACCTTTTTGAAAGACTAGCAAGAGATTGTTAAAAGGAGAGCAGTAAAAACAACTCTCGCCTGTCTGAGCAATATGAAATCTATTCTCTTTTCAAATTGAAGAAAAGTTAAGAGAGCTGCACCACTGCATAACATTCAATTTAAACGCCGAGGTAAACAGAAATGTATTGGCTAATAACTCAGTTTTCCAGATCACATGCCTAATTCAAGAAGTAAAAATTACATTGTTACAATTCCAAAAATATACCACAGCACTGAAGATTTTGTCAAATAATTATATTTTTAAATATTTTTCTCTCATGTACGAAGGTAAAAGGTTTGTTTTTTACATTTTATTTTGTTTTTTAAAGTTATCAAAACTATTTATATAGCAAGTTTTAACATTGTTGGCACAGGGAAAACCAAGTGTGCACGATATAGGTAAAAGTATATCACTCCATCTCTGCATGTTCAATAAAAAAAATAATCTTTCACCCAAATCTTTGGTAACAACTTCATGTTCACAAGCTCTAGTAAATTTTTACTACCCACCTTATGATAGTAAAAACAGCTTGATCCCTACAAAAATAGTCTTTTTTTAAGTCTCACTGAACGGGCAGAAATAGGAGTAAACACAACAACCCTCAGGTACAGAACTAAATTGACCATATGAGTTTTTTTGAAAGAGAAAACTCAAACAGCTTAGTTTGAAATATCAGTTGTGTAAGACCAGAGGGTATGAATCATTTTAATCACCAGAGGATAACATCCAGTGACTTCCCAACGGCCTTGACACATCTAAGCTAAGATTATCTCCATCCCTCCTGTCAGCACATATAATGGGCCGGGGCAGTCCTAACCTACATACAGTGCTGCAGGATTTCCTCTAAATGTATTTTTAAAAGGAGTGACAGTGATTATGTCACTGAGTGCCTCTAACAAGCACAAACACATTTATGGTGGCCTTTAGGCAGATAACTACAGCAGACATGTAATTAGTGCTTTCAGGGAAAACTGAACACTTGACCTCAGTGAATCATCAGACAGGTTAGGAACTTCCTATTCTGGGACTAGATTATAAATGCCACATCAGACTCTTTGTTTTACATTGTTAATTACAATGTAATAATTCATGTCTTTACATCATCTTTAATTTAATACTGTTAAGTATAAAATGTATTGCTTCTCTACAAAGGGATACACTTCATATTGACTACACTAAATCCTAATTTTTCATTTTTTATGTTTCCGTTAAATCCTCTTGAATCCTCTCTGAATATGTCAAGTACATAATATCCAAACTTTGAAAGAATTGCTGTCAATCTTCTCCACAACACGTAAACTTCTGGCCAAAAGGTTTAGCTTCAAATGTCATAGTTACTTTAGTCTAGGATGAAGAGTGTTTAGATGTGTTTCATTTTAGTTAGCACTGTAGATGGGCACCAGCTTCCCTTAAACACTGCAAAGACTAGGGGGGTATAGACAATGGATGGATGAAGATAAGAAATTGTTAATAAGAACAGATCAGCTGATTTCTCTCTGTCATTCTGACTGAAATGCAAATGCAGAATAGTTGGCTTAAAGCAGAAGAAAGCTTGACCATGGTTACCTCTAAGGAAACCTACGCAGTCATCTTACATTATTTATGCATCTGTGGGACTTCACATATACTACCACAACACTTATCTCACATCCTCAAGAACTTTAGATTAGGGTCCAAATGCTGCAATATAAAGCTCAAGAGCTACCAAGAAAGTCATAAAGGTAGTAGGACCACCTCAGCTGGTGACCCTCTCACCACCAACTGCTATTCCCTCATGGTGACAATTTTATGGTAGTCTCAGTTCTATCATTCTGCCCCAGCACAGCTGTGGCTACAATGTGCTTTACCACCATTAGTGTGTGAATGTGTGTGTGAATGACTTAATGCAGAAAAAAGTGCTTTCACTCTTTTGATAATAGTGCTCCATAAGGAGGCGTGCAGGTGATGCAGTGGTTAGTGCTCACAACCCATGTACGGCCTTAGTCCTCGACGCGGCTGACCATGGTTCGAATCCGACCTTTGGTCCTTTGCTGCATGTCTCTCCCCCTCTCTTATACCCCTCTTCCTGTCAGCCTTCTATAAAAAAACAAGCCCTAAAAACTCCAAAAAGAAAAAAAGTGCTCCATAAGTACAGGCCTGGTGCATGATAGGTCAACAAAGCTTCTTCTCTCCAACAGAAATGAATAACATTCAGCTAGACGATTTAGGATAGGTGCAGAGGACTTGGGTAAAGTTTTTTTTTTTTCCAATAAGCCACCTTCAAAATGTATGGGACAGTAAACCATCAGGAGACAATTCATGTAAGGGTTTGCCTCTGATCCAAGGGATTAACCCTCACTCACAAATTTCACCCAAAACAACAGACCCATGATTAAAGACTTCGATGAATATTATCTGAGAAATATATATATATTTTTTATTATCTAAAGGAGCAGTTTGAAGATGCACAGCGTTTACTTTTTCGGCATAATGTTCAAGAACCATGTCAAAATAACAGGTAATAGCCAGAGCAATACTTGTTGAAAAAGTGAAAATAAACAGCAGAGGATCTAGGAGCTATGTTTATGTTGACATCACTAAGACAGATAATGGAAAAGGAAAATAAAATAAGTATGTCTAAGTCAAAAAATTTAAAAGGCAAACATTTTCCTGTAAAGATATCCCAATAATTATGGAGGATGCGTTACATAAACAATGCTGCTTGGACCCTTACTGATCCAAGACTTGGGAAGCTTGCAGACTATCTTCAGGTGTTTCTTGTAATGAGTGTATGAAGCAGCACAAAAGACAACCCTTTATGATCTTTGTATGAACTAATTGATTTGGACAGGTCTTCATTTCTAATCCCTTACCATATGACCCATAGCAGTCTGTATCTCATCCTCACTTTCAGAAGGGATTTGCTACAAGAAAGAGGCGAATAACTGCTCTGCTTCGATGGATCTTTATGCCTTTTTGATTGTTTTTATCTTTGGTGATTAGCTAAAAGCTGTTTAGTAAATGTGAACAAATATTTGTGGGTTCCAAACTCCAGAGAAGGAACATAAAAAAAAAACCAAAGTTACAAAGCTTAAGCTTGTTGTTTGTAATGTAAGAAATAATTTAGCTTTTGGGGGAGTAAGAGAAAATCTTCCCATCATGGGTCAGCGCTTGAGCGAGGAAAGTGACCCCGACAAGGAAATCGATGTGGCAGAGCTGCAGGAATGGTACAAGAAATTTGTTGTGGAATGTCCGAGTGGAACACTATTCATGCACGAGTTTAAGGGTTTTTTTGGGGTCACTGATAACAAGGAGGCTGCAGATTACATCGAGAACATGTTTCGAGCCTTCGACAAGAACGGAGTAAGTACATCAGGACTGGACTCTGGTGTTATCAGTTCTAATGTTGAAATTTGTCAGGCATAGATAGATTCAAAAGGAATTGCTGTTGAAGCAAGACACTGCATTTTAATGATATAAGCTCAAGTAGAGCTGAAAAGAGAAATTTCTCAAAAGTGAGCACGTTTTTGATTTGTACTTTTAATTATTCAATTTTCTTCTTAGTAAATGTGTAAAGTTTTTCTTTTTGATATCTTATTTCTTCAGATTTCTTAAAGCATTCTGAATAAGCGTATATTGTTTGATATTTTTTTTGCTTTTTTATTTTTGTTGCCTGATTGTAATTTCTTCTCAAGTATTCTGATTTTTTAACATTTGAACTCTCTATTTTCACAGGACAACACCATAGATTTTCTTGAGTATGTAGCAGCTTTGAACTTAGTTCTCAGAGGGAAGCTGGAACACAAGCTTAAATGGACATTCAAAATGTACGATAAAGATGGGAGTGGATGCATTGACAAAACAGAACTTCTTGAAATTGTTGAGGTAATGTTTCCATTAAATCACATAAAAATTTAAATTAGTGTCGATCCGCTGGGGATTGCAACCCTTGCTTTTAGAAAATAAAATCATTGTTAATCATTGCAACACCCTTTGTTGTCACTTACAGTCTATTTATCGGCTAAAGAAAGCCTGCCATGGAGAGCTGGATGAAGAATGTAATCTGCTTACACCAGACCAGGTTGTTGACCGTATATTTGAGCTGGTCGATGAAAATGGAGATGGTGAGAGTTTTTTTCTTTTTTTATGTGTCATTTAAGAGTGTCTGTTTGCTTGCTTTAGCATCAAGTTTAAGTTCTTATATAAGGTTTTGCTTTTGCTTATCGCTGGTTTAAACATTTTTAATGCCTCTTATTTTGTCACCAAGGTGAGCTCTCTCTGGATGAGTTTATTGATGGAGCACGCAGGGATAAATGGGTGATGAAGATGCTGCAGATGGATGTGAACCCTGGCGACTGGATCAATGAGCGAAGACGCAGTGCTAACTTCTAAGGCTGGAAATCCTAATGAACTCATACATAACCACAAAGATTTTGTATATAAATGTTTATAAAAGACATAAATAAATGATGTCCAGAAGTTAGACATATATGTTCTTGTTGCTTATAAAGCATTTAGTTACAGATTCAATGAAACAGTGACACACTGAAGAACAGTGTAAATAATTACTGCCTATCTTATTATAGGTTTGTTTTACAGTCATGAACACATACTCTATGTTCTGTTGATTGTGTCATGAATCAAGAATAAATGTTGTTCAATAAAAAAGTTTAAAGATGACTTTTTTCTTACTTGTGGGTATTTATTCATGAAAAATATTCCTGTTTGAAATTAAGCTCAGTAGAATATTGTTTTTTTTTTTTTTTCTTGTGAAGCCAAGAGAACAAAACTAAGTGATTCAGCTGGCAAATGGCCCACCAAGAACTGATAATAAGCTGCAGCCGAGGAGTTTCCCTCTAAAAATGATGGAGAAGTAAATGTTGGCATCATATTTAGGGACAAGCTGTCAGAACAATCTATGATTTAAAGGGGATTACATAAACAAACAAAAGGGAAACTACAAGATAAACCAGCTGAAACTGGCCAGGAAATATTGCTAATCTGTTGGCTTATACGCAGAGTTGCCCCAGCCTGTGCAATCACTGGATATTGTGACTGCAAACAAAACCTGTATTAGCCAGGAATGTTCCAGGGCATGCATAAATGAGGGGGCAGGTGGAAATGTGAAGAGAGCATCATTTGTGCACAGATTACTACAGCATATTCATATTGTTGTTTCTTCTTTGGAACACACTGGAAAAAATTGCTTTGTTAAAATTTGGGTTGTTGCACTTTACAAAATTTGGCAGGTTTTTAAAAAGTATTCATATAAAGGCTCTATCAAAATACAGAAGAAACAAACAAAAAAAAAAATCCATAACACTGAAATAATGGACTTCAAACCTTTGTGGAGTAATGTAATACAGGAATCTAAGGGAAGTTTACACTTTTAAAGAACATGGAACCACAAAGACATATAAGTCTGGTTGTGTTCCAAGTGTTTTTTTTTGCAGACACAATTTAAAGTGTTGCTGGTCAGAATGAGCACCGACATATTTGGTGGATATGCTTAGGCATGAAAAAAAGGGACCTTATGCAAAGTGTAGTTATGAAATTAAAATAAAGGGATATAATCTCTCTTTTTTAGCATCATTAGGCAAAACTGGCAAATTATGTACTCATATCCATAATAATAAATGGGAAATCTCAATAAAACTGAGAAAACAGCTAATTTTAAAAGTTTTCTGGCAAAGTGGAAGCATTACCAATTTTAATATGAATAACCAAACTACATGTAGCCCAGTATAAGGTCTACCCTTAATGATTTGAATAGGTCAGGTTAACAATTGGTCTGTTATTACACTAATGAAGTAGAATAAGCAGGGAAGTAATCTTTTCCTACTTTTTGTATTCTGCTGTATTATCAAAGAAAATTATTTTTTTTAATAGTTGATAAGCATATATTTATTTTTTTATAGTTGATAATCAGCAGAATGTTTCCTTTTAGCTGTTGAAGTATAAATTCTTCCATGAGCAGACCTCCATGACTAAAGGGAAATTTTCCACCACAGAACAAAATTGTTAGTTGGATGCTATAATTATTATATTCTGTGTATGTTGGTTTCATATTTGGGCTACATGACATCCTCCTGCAAAATCTTTATGATCAGGAATATTTTTCTCGTTTTTGGCTTTTTACATCAGTTAGTGTTCTTTCTACTTTGTTTTTTTTTCTCTCATTCTCTCTCTAGCTGGTCAAGCCTTTTTTTCCATTGACTTTATGAGTACAAAACACGTAGGTTATACAATATACAGTTTTGCATGGATTGAGTCTGAATAAAGTAGATGTTTTCACCAGTGTTTTCCTTTAAAATGCTTCCCTCCTGGACCTTTTGTTTAAAGCTACAGTGTGTAATAATTACAGGGATATACAGTCAGAAATGTAATATATTATACATAACTATGTTATTTATCATCATCTACGAGCTCAGCCTCTTAACCTTAATATTTGCGTTGCCTTAGAAGTCGTTATTTATAATTACATAGGAGCGGGTCTCGCAGCCATGGAGGCAGACATCTTTGCGCTACGGCGGCGCAGAGCCAACAAACTAGCGATTGCGAGATCGCCCATTACGCTCGAAAGTAACTACGGCAAGTTGAGAGAGATGAACTGAGACGGTACTGAACACACAGACTAATGAAATACTATCTGTAAAATTATCTATGTAAACAAACCTCATCACTTGAGAAGGTAGGTGATGTGGACGTCGTGGAAGACATTTTGTCCCGTAACGCTCGCCGTACTGTTGGGGGGGAGAAGCGGTGGGGGGGAGATGTTCATGTTGCTGCAGTCTGCAGTCTGGACGTTAGATGTCGCTGAAAATTACACACTGTAGCTTAAAAAAACAAAAAAAACAATAGGCCGGAAGGCAAGTAGTGTTTTTATCATGTTGCAATAGATATAGTATCTATGTTGCAAAATGCACAATCATAGATGATGGTGCATCATCTACGGCTCATTTTTTCTTTTCAAAGGAGCCCGACAGCATAACTGAGCCACTACCATGCTTCACTGTTGTCTGCCTTGTGTGCTGCATTCTTCTTCCTCCAGAGAAATTGCTGATATAACTGTTAACTTTATGTTATCTCACCACAACACAGAATCCCATTACCTCATTTAGTGAGTACATTTGGGGCAAATCTATCTTGTATTTAGGGTTGGCAATGGAGTACAAACATTGAGGTCTTCAGTTCATACCATGTGGCTTATTGTGGTAAATGAAACTTGAGAGGCTGTTTTCACCAAGTTTTGCTGAAGGTCTTCTTCAGTCACTGGCAGGATTTGACCACCTGCCTCCTTCAAACTTACAAAACGTGCAAAAAATACAAAGCATTTCAACTATATCTTTAATATTTTTAGGGATTTATTTGTTTTGAACACATTTCTAAAATGCAATAAAGCATTAATGGCAATAGTTCAGATAATTTAGATGTTCTTACTTTACCAGCTGATGCAGCAAATCGAATAACTGTCTGGTTGCATGATCAGGTCACACTTAACCCCTGATTTAAACTGTTCTTGTCTAACTAATTTATTGCTCCTTAATAATTGTGTTAACCCGGTTTGCATTGGGAGCAAATACGTTTAGGCACAACCAAGGTCAGTACTTTCAATGCGCCCATTGAAGTCAACATCTAAGCGTCACAGCTGTAGCTGAAATCAAACTCCGCCTACAGAGTAGCGCCGCTTTCTTCCCCGGCGTGAAATTGGGGCGAACCCATCTCCATTCTCATCAGGTGTTGCTATTCTCGCGAGATTCTCGATGTTTTAGCTTTGGTCCTGCCGAAAGAAATTGAAAGCAAATTGTGTGTTAGATACTAAAAAACGTGGCCTGCCTCAAACGTCTTTTTATTTTAACTTTAAAGTTCCGGGTCGAGCTATCAAAGCAGTGTTCATCTCGGAAGCAGATGCAAACAATCCTGCGTGGTTTAGCGTGTTCGTTTAGACAGACGGGTTCACAGGTTTTAACACCGAATCAAGCCACCAAACAGGATCTTATTTCATGGTTGCAAATGTCGTCTGAAAGTCAGGCCCTATGCTCAACTAGAAAAGTAGAGGTAATGTTTAAAATTACACAGTTTCCTATTATAGCTGTTGTTGCTGCTCTGACATTTTAACTCTGGTGAAATGCTGCCCCCTGGTGGCTAGCTATCAGAAGGCAGCTGTGAACTGAAGTATGTCACCGGGGATCTGTTCTCCTGCCCACCGGATGAAGCTCTGGCCCACTGCATCAGTGAGGATATCCGCATGGGGGCGGGGATAGCAGTGATGTTTAAGAAGAAGTTCAAAGGAGTGGAAAGGTTAAAAGAGCAGAGTAAGTCCGACCAGCTATATAAAAAGCCATGAGGTGATATTTATTCTCCTGTGATGGAAGTTATTATGTCTGATATAAAACGTGCTTTTGTCAGATTTTCCATTTTAGCATGAATTTTAATGTTGTTCTGAATGGAAATAATAAGGTATAAAGGATATATGAGGAACTATCCTTGAGGCGCCCATCATATTTGTTCGTACATTTTTCAAAGTCAAAGTCAAAAAGCCTTTATTGTCATTATATACTGTGACAGATACAATGAGATTTGGGACTTCCATAACAGCTACCGTGAAAAAAAAAAAAAAAAAAAAAAATATATAAAAAATATATAGATATATTAAAAGGAAAGGAAATGTAAACAGTTACGAAAAATATATATAAATATATTAAAAGGAAATGTAAACAGTGAAAAGGAAATGTAAACTGTGAAAAGGAAATGTAAACAGTACTGGCACAGATTGTGGGGGGGGGGATAGTGCAAAACAGGTGTAAAGTGACCGACAGTGCAGGTTGGAGTTGAGGGGGGGCAATGGCTTGGGGAATAATGCAAACCAGGTGAAAAGTGTCCGTCAGTGCAGGTCGGAGTTGAGGGCGGCAATGGCTTGGGGGAAGAAACTGTTCTTGAGTCTGTTTGTCCTGATCCTCATTTGCCTGTAGCGCCTTCCAGAGGGCAACAGGTCAAACAGGGTGGAGCCAGGGTGGGAGCTGTCCTTGGAGATGGCCCTGGCTCTGCTGAGGCACCGGGTGGAGTAAATGTCTGCCAGGGAGGGGAGAGGGCGACCGATAATCCTCTGCGCTGCCTTTATCACCCTCTGCAGCCTCTCCCTGTCGGCAGCGGTGGAGCTGCCGAACCATACTATGATGCAGTAGGTCAGCAAGCTCTCGATGGAGGAGCAGTAGAAGGCCAGCAACAGATCAGAGTTGAGGTTATACCTTCTGAGGATTCTCAGGAAGTGTAACCTTTGCCGGGCCTTCTTGATGATGGTGGTGATGTTCTCTGACCAGGTGATGCGGTCAGAGATGTGGACGCCGAGGTATTTGACGCTGTGAACCCTCTCCACCTGCTCGCCGTTGATGAAGAGGGGAGCTGGCTCAGGGCTGTGCCTCCTGAAGTCTATGATGAGCTCGTTGGTTTTCTTGGTGTCCAGAGTCAGATTGTTCTCTGGGCACCAATCAGCCAGCTTCAGGACCTCCTCTCTGTAGGCGGCCTCGTCGCCCCTGGAGATGAGACCGACCACAGCGGTATCGTCGGCGTACTTGATGATCCGGTTGTGGTTGTGGATCGGTCTGCAATCGTGGGTGTAGAGGCAGAAGAGGAGGGGGCTCAGCACACAGCCCTGTGGGGAGCCGATGCTCAGCGTGCGGGTGGAGGAGAGGTGGGGGCCAACTCTCACAGCCTGGGGTCGGTCGGTCAGGAAGTTGTTAATCCAGGCACATGTGAGAGGGGGGAGTCCAAGGGAGCCCAGTTTGATGATGAGTCTGTCCGGGAGAATGGTGTTAAAGGCCGAGCTGTAATCCACAAAGAGCATCCGGACGTAGCTCTGCTGCTGCTCCAGGTGGTTCACAGCAGAGTGGAGAGCCACGGCAACGGCGTCCTCTGTGGAACGGTTGGCCCGGTATGCAAACTGTTGGGGATCCAGGTGTGGGGGGAGACAGTCCTTGATGTGCCGAAGAACCAGCTTCTCAAAGCACTTCATGATTACCGGAGTGAGGGCCACTGGGCGGTAATCATTCAGGCTGGTAATGGCAGACTTCTTCGGCACCGGGATGATGGTGGAGGTTTTGAGGCGGGACGGAACGGTGGCTTGGGCCAAGGACAGGTTGAAGAGCCTGGTGTCTTTATTTAGGATAAAAAAAGACAAATGTCCCCTTAAACAATGGAGACACCAGATTAGGTTTTGTTTTAATTACTAAACATCAATATATATATATTTGTTTTGTGCTCTAACTTTGCTTTTGGTTTTATTCATAAGGGCTCACTTGTAACGCATACCTCTGCAGAAAACATCTGAGCCATATATGAAAACACTGCTTTTCAGGAGAAACTGGCAATGATAAAATACTTGATTGATTTCCAAAGAGGACAGAATGCAGTTGGACAGAATATTGAAGTTCTTTAGCAGTGATTTTGTTCCAACTCGTGTGAACATGATGAACTGGTCAATGTTTTCCAGTAAGATGGTTTCAAGGCTCAACCTTGTTTCCAGCAGAACTCTGAATACCAGTCAGCAGAAAAGCTTATGAGCCACATAACACTTTTCATGCTTCATATGACATTTAATCATTGTGTTTCCTGTTTTAGGACAGTCAGAATGACCTAAATTATATAATGCAAATTAGATCAAATGTGCTTTTTAAAAAAAAATCATTTTGTTTTGAAAGTCAGAGGATTACATAAACTTTACCTTTGAGATAATGTGGTAAAGCTCCGAACATATCCTGTCTTTGAAAGTTTGACTCACAGCTTTATTAGTTACCAATACTAAACTAGGGCTGGGTGATTAATTAATCTTATCTTTTAATCAGGTTTTATGTTTGAGGATCAAATTTTTTGAAAGCCTGTTTTTTATACCACTATTCTTGTTGGGCTTCAATAGCTCAGTGTTCATACATTTCTATTCATCTTTCTTTGTTTAGTAAACACTTAATTTCTTAGGGTTCAGGGTTTGTTAAATACATCAGCATGTTCTTGCTCCTCTTTTCTTTTTTAAACCCTTAATACTGCTTTTGATCTTTGACCACTCTTCATTATATTTTATTCCTGTTTCTCCATTTTTTTTTATATCCATCCTTCTTGTTTCTCAGCAAAAAGAGGATTTGTTTATTTAATAATGTTTGTGTCCTTTAACGTGTTTTGATATGAGGTACATAAAGCCTTCAACTAATTAGATCAGAAGCTTTTGCTTATCATCATCTGATTCATTCAGGTTTTCTTCTGATAAATTAAGTCTTTGTTTAGTGTGTTATATTTTTATTGTTTCTTGTGAAACTTGATTGTTTTCCAAACATGTTTATCACCTTGAATTTCATTGCCCTTTAAATTAGGGTCACCTCTCCAAGGGGATGATTGAAATCAAAGCTAGGTGTTTAAAGCATCATATGTAACTTTTCATTTTTATAATGAAATGTGAAAAAAAGATTAATTTGATTTGGTTGGATAGAATCCTGTTACTGTGTTTAAGGCAAGGCATCTAAAACCATCTTCCCTCCTTCCCTCCTTCCCTTGTTAAGATGCCGAGTGACAGTCCATATCATACTGATATGGACTTTCTGACCCCTCAAAGAAAAAGTCAGCTGTTATCTAAGACCATCCTGTAAAGCCAGATTACAGCATTTTTATGGTAGTGTAATTTAAACACTGTAATGACAAAAGCTCAATGGTTTCACTTTGGGGGAAATAAACATGTTTGCCCTGGTGAAAAAAAAAAATCCAATTGTTTGTTTCAATGCCCATAGTTTCATGGAGGAGAAGCAGCAACAAACCAGTTCAGTTACAAGTTTTGTTTGGGACGATTACAGAAAACGTTTGAGGAGCTTATAGACGGATATAACTCAAATGTAAGGATATTTGACCAAATATTTTAGGATGATAAAATAAAAAAAGGGAAAAACAAAACCTCTAAAAATATTTGTATCATTTTTGAATTTTAACTAAGAGGATTTGGAAATCTAAGACTATTTAAAGAGGGACAAATAGTTCTGATTAGTGATGGATTAATGAGGCATCTCGAAGTGTTTCAGCACATTGCCAAACTGTAAACTTACAGAATACTGACACCTGCTGGACATTTAAAGACACTACAGGCAGCTTATTCGACACTAAAATGAATTGATTTGATGATATAGTTCAATGATATAATTGAAGTTATTGTAGGTTATATTGTATTATTTCATATCTATGTTTAAATTGAAAATATCTTTGATATTTTTAGATGCAGCCTATAAATAATGCAAACATATATCATAACGTAATCATTTAGGGGAAAATGTGAATAAGAAGCTTGTGGACTAGGTTTTTAAATCAGAATTTTAAAATAATAAGTAAAGTAAAACAGTAAATAAATTAAAATCAAGTTGAAATTAACTTTAATTCAGATAAATTGAGTGATAACAGAGAGGAAAAGTAGGATACGAGAAATTAACGTTCTTATTTCTTTTAGGCTGAATTTTCATGATAAACCGCAAAAGATGAGACAATTTTTTTAGCAGATGCATCATGTTGACAGAAACGTTTTTAAACATAGTTTAGTGTGTCAGTCAGTTAGAAACAACTCCTGTATCGGTCACACTACTTTCTTAAATGACACCCGCACCGATACAGTGTTTTGCTCTATGGGCTCTACGTATGCACCGACGCATCTGTGTTGCTGGACCCATCACTAGTTCTCATCAATTAGTCTGGAGGAATTTTGTATTCTTTTAATACAGTTCATGCAAATGTCTTTTTTACAGTCGTCTAATCTTTGGTGTCTTTTTTTTTTCCATGTATCATAATAGAGAAGGTACCTGGACAGTGTGCAGTACTGGCTCACCATGGACGGTTCATCTACTATCTGGTAAATATTTCATGGCTAATCATTATGATACGATAAAAAATAATTCCAGTATTCAGTCATGAAACTTTGCCTTTTTTTTAACTCTACTGTAACTTTATCCTCTCAGATCACAAAGAAGAAAGCCAGCCAGAGACCCACGTATGAAAACCTGAGAAAAAGTCTGGAAGACATGAAGTCTCATTGCCTACAGAATAATGTCAAGAGAATATCAATGCCTCGGTTTGTAGTAACGTCTGTGGAAACTGTTGCATTATGTGCTGAATATATTCACTAATTCTTGTGTTTTTTCCGGGAATCATTAAGCTATATGTTTATCTTGTGTCTCCCTCTCAGTATTGGATGTGGCCTGGACCGACTGCAGTGGAAAAGGGTGTCAGAGATCCTGATACAGGTCTTTGAACACGCAGATATCTCCATCACAGTATACAGCCTGCCCAAGAAAGAAGAGACCGCAGTGATGGAGGAAAATATGCGTAGATAGTTTATGGTTTTGTTTATTATGTGTAATCTTCCCTGTATGCACTTTTCTGTATGACTCCCACAGTAGTGTAAAAGCTGTTATCTAAGGAGTAAATTCCAAGTGAAATAAATATTTTTCTTCCTTTTTGTAACAGCGTGACACAGAACTGCTCAGCAATGGTGTTAATGAAAAACCACACTCAGCAGTTTTCTGCTCTCTCACTACAGTGAGACTCCTCCTATTCAACAAATTAAGATTTTAAGGCATTTTTGATCAATTTTAGTGTTTGACTTTTAATTTTTACTTTAGAGGGATTCTAAAATATTTATTTAGTTTCATTGTTAACCCCACCCCTTATCGGAAAAGCATACTTTTTAAAAATGGGTTTTAAAACACTAGTTAAGAGGTTTTGGCTAAAGACTGTTTGCTTAAATACAAATTTAAGCATGTAGTAGAATAACATAGCAAATGACTTATATATTCCTTTTGTGGTTGCAGATTTTTTTTAAAGCCTTTAATTTAGTCAGATTGGACGTCGTTTACACTTTTGGTTTTAACTTTGAGATTTTCTATGATACAAAATATTGTGCATGTCCATTGCTTATGAAATCTCTACTTTTAAGTCAACCAGTGCCTTCATTCACCAAGCATCAACTAAACCATTGCTATAAGAGCAGCGTATAGTGAGGAACAACAAATGTAAATGAAAATTGTGACACTAATATTCTAAAACTTAATCAGTAAGCTTGCAGAATATAACTCAGTGATTATAATACTAAAGTAAAAATCAGACTAAAAATAAGCTTTTTGCTTAGAAGACTGTTTCTAGGAGAGCTAAATATTCTAGAGAGATTGTCAATGAAAGGGAATTTAGTGAATAAATGTTACTAGGAATAACAATGGCTTAATAAAACACATTTTAACTCTTAGAAAACAAGTGTTTAGGACCCCCTGTAATGTTTCTTCATATAAAATTGATTATATCTAATATCTCTGAAATGCAATAAAAAGTGTGTCATCACTTAATTTCTAAGGGTTCATGGTTTGTTAGATACATCAGCGTGTTCTTGCTCCTCTTTTCTTCTTTAAAACCTAAGTACTGCTTTTGATCTTTGACCACTCTTCATTATATTTTATTCCTGTTTCTCAATTTTTTACATCCATCCTTGTTTCTCAGCAGACAGAGGATTTCCTTTAACATCTTTTAATATGAGGTAAATAAAGCCTTCAATTTATTAGATCAGAAGCTTTTACTTATCATCTGATTAATTCAGACTTTCTTCTGATAAATTGAGTATGAGTTAGAAATGGCTGCAGTTTGATTAATCTAACATGGAACTCACTAGTAAACAAACACCTTTATTGATGGCCACATTACTGTATCATTCTAACTTTAATATATGCTTAATATTGTGTTTATGAACAACTTCAAATGCTACAGGAATCTAACCATCATTAACATCCGAAATCTTTTTTCTTCTTTTTTTTAGATTACAGAAGGTTTTGTACATCTGAAGATGCTTACTGTAGCAAGAGGTGGATAGTGGAGGTCCGTAAAGTAAAAATCTAGCCTGGTTGTCCTTCATCCTGTTCACTTGACTAAGTTATTGGTCCCTGTCTGTTGCTCCTGTTCCTTCACCTCTCATGGTGTCAACAGTAAGGACACCTTTATGGCTAGAAAAAGTAAATCTGGACTGCTTTACCAAATCTGAAGAGCCTCTAGCCTCTTAGATGTCATTATGCAACAGAAACGCACATTGATGATGTTAATAAAATAGGAAATACAGCCATCTGAAAAAGAAAAAAAAGGCAGATGCATAAATGTAGCTAACAACAGCTGAAGCTCTCCATTATTAAACTCAATACATATAAAGTTGTGTATTTTTCCATGTGTCATACAGAGTACACATAAAAAATATATGAAACTCTGTTTGGTGGGCTGTGTTTATACATCTTGTCATGCAAAGGATTGTGGGAATCCATATGGGTGCTAAGAGCCAGATAGTAACATTATTAGGTCTGTGTGCTAAATGAGTTGTTGATAGGAAGCATCCAACTTTCCTTACATACTTTCTTTTTGCCAGCACTATTTGGACAGCACTTATCATGGCAACTGATGAAACACTTTCCCTTTGTCTTAACTTTCCTGACCGGTTTGCTGTGTTTGGATTGAGCCTAGTGGATTTAAAAATGCAAAGGCTTGAAACTAATCTCTGTACAGGCTTTTCTTTCTAGGCCTAGATTGTCAACCTCCACTGTGATTTTTACTCCAACAATTTATTTATGTCCAGCTATGGTCAATCGCACCACAGTTAAACATCCATCCCTGCATTTAGTGTATATACTGCAGATATTTATTTTTTAAATAACCATCTGCAGTTCAGTCACTGAGGTCATTAAGTTTGTGAACAATGTGGCCCATAATCTAATAAACAAGGCAGCAAATGTACAGTTAATTTATTTTGGGATCAAAACAGTTAATCAGACAAATTGTATCACACTGCCAGGGATCACGCTATGGGTTTGTTCATCTAATTATTATCAGGCTAATGTCATCAAGATATTTGAAGAGGTCCCAATTGTTTCTGTTAAAGTATAAATGCCTATAGAGAAATCTGTCTCAGGACAATAACAAACCCCAAGCACACATGTAAGCGATCAGCATTCTTTTTTTAAGCCTTTCATAGGTGCCAAGGATTAGTCCTGGTAAACATGAGAGTATGGGCTGTTCTTAGAAACAGATGCTATACATTAAAATACTGTATTTATTGTTGTATTGTATAAGTTTAGTTTTAGATTAAATGTTTGCGATTGTAAGGAAAATGCAGACATTACTAAAATATCTTTTTGTCCGATTTTGTCTTTGACCCACTTTTGGTAGCTTAACTAATTAGATCTTTTCACATAAAGCTTTGCTTTGTATTCAGAATGTGCTCCCAATGCATCGTTAGAATTCATGGAAATAATGATAATAGTAATGACTACAAACAGGCTTTGATCTTTACTCATTTTTAAAAATGAGTAAAAGGCTATCATTGTGAACTCAACCATTGTGTATCAACCATTTGATATACAAACATGAAAGTTGGTATAGAACATCTTCAGACCCTTCTATCACTCCCATTGAAAGATTTTTCAATATCATCTATGGTTCAGCTGTTTAGCTGACTTGTTTGGGCACATGAAACAAGTCAGCTAAACAGCTGAAACATTGATTCTGAGAAAAGGCCTCAGATTGAAATCTTTCAAAACAAACCACATTTTTACATCATCAACGTGGCCATATAGTTTTTGGTAGAAACATGATAAACAGCCCTAAACGTTTGTTCCCCTATCAGTCATAAATTAAACGATGCAAGAATTATATGGATACCACTTATTATGCCAGAGTTATCGGCGTTTGTTTGTCACAACATCATACAAGCGATTAAGCCAAGATTGTAAGGGGAGACAGTGGCTGAACAACACGTTTTCAAATGGATGCCTTTCCCAAGCAATTTAATGTACAAACATGAAATTTGGTGGTGGACATCTTCAGACCCTTCTAGCACTCAAATTAAAGGCAGCTGGGTTGTATATATTGTACTATTATTCTTATGGTCCTGTGTTGCATTTCTAAACTTAAGAGTTAGTTTTTTTCTAATTTATAATCAGCCATGCTTCTGCCATTTGCTTCTCTCTGATTCCTCTATTTTCAGGAAGGCCATTAAGCTTTTCTTTCTGCTCATTCCTAACACTTTACCAAAGTTTTTCCTTCCAAGTTTAGCTTATTTCTGGATTAAATTTCTGTTGTTATTTTACATTACTTCACCTTCGCCTATATTTCCAACAGTGGCTTAATTCTGCTCTCTTTCTGGACAGGCATTAAGCTTTTCTGTTTGCTGCTAATTAATAACATGCCTGACATGTTTCTGCTGTTGGCTTCACCTTGCCTCTGCATTTACCTTTTCTTCTATTTAATATAATTTCTGCAACAGTTTAGCAGTTTAGCATTCTCATTGCTGTTTTGCAGGAATAGCAATTTTTCCAGTTATTATCATTATTATTATTATTGTTATTATTATTATAACACAAGATTAAATGGTTATTTATGATAAGATATACAATTTAATTACCTAATTAAGTGATTAAATTTAACAAAATACATACACACACACATATATATATATATATATATATATATATATATATATATATATATATATATATATATATAGTTATATTTAATAAAGGGTCATTATAGTGTCTGGCAATGGTTTAAGCTTGACAGGCTGAGATGTGGAAAAAACTGACACAAGGGACTGCTTGGGGCAAGTCACCATACAGGGTCTTATTTATATATTTATGATATTTATATAATTAAACAATGAAAAGCAATGAATGACATTTTTCTGTTTGAACTTTTAGTTCAAAGAATCATATTTCATGTTATTTACCTATTCTTCCCTCTGCCATAACAGTGTTGACTCAGTACACTCTGTACTCATCATATACAACTTGTGGTGTACTCAGATGGTCAGATGCAGATGGTCGATCTGTTGTATGTACCATTATTGATCCGCTCATGCATTGTTCTTGAGTGCAGCCTGGACACAATGGACCAGATGTAGTTTTTTAAAGAGGAAGAAGAGGAAACCTGACACCAGAGAATTAAACCCAAACATTTCTTTTCTCTGAGCAGAAAACCTTTGGACACATGAAAAAAACAGGGGAGACAAGATACATTAGGTTGCAAAATGTTTTTTTAATTTATTTTAGGTCACACTTGTACCAAAATTTCTTGTTGTTTGTAGTATATCAGAAGCCTTATAGCAGGAGAAATGCATTCTTACCAGGCTTAACTCCAACTCTCTTTTTAGGGCAGCTTCAATTATTTGTTAGTTTAAATCATTAACTGCTCTTTTTTCCTTGGGTGACTGGCCCCTGTTTCCCTCCTATATGTGACAGACAGGCTAGAAGACTTCAGCACTGCAGCCATCCCTTGCTTTCCTCCTCCTTCTCCCTTCCCATCCCCCTTCCTGCCTGGCAGTAAGACTCACACTGCAGCAGAGCCCCCTCGATGCGCTGCAGTTAGTGCAGAGAAATCTCCCTTTCATCTGACCTGCTGTCACACTGCTGCTGCGGGGAGGACCAGCCAGTGCATCCAAACCTGCCTCTTACCACACCTGAGACCGCTCCTTTGTGTTCCTTCCTGCTTGTCCTGCTGCAAAATCCCGATTTGCCTCCAGTGCACCCCCCCCCATCACCACTATCACAGATCCCATCCCTTTTCCCTCCTCCTCTTCTTCCTCCTATTCCCACCTCCTCCTCTCCTCCTCTCCTCCATATCTGTTTTATTCTTTGCTTCATGCATAGGAAATTGCAGAGCTCAGCATTCTCCACAGGCACTTAGGAAGGATAGAGAAAATAATAATAAGAGGAGTTGGGCGGGATGGTTTCTGTTGCACCACATAACTGACTGCCTTCCAATTACAGAAGAGAGCTTATGTTACAGAAAAGCTATTTAACCAATCGGGAGGCAGCGTAGGGTAAAGATACCAGAAAAAAAGCGAGTGGGAGAGTGGGCAAAGAGGGTGAAAAAAAGGAAAAAAAAACTGCAGTGTGTGAGTGTGTGTAGTTTTCATCCCTCCGCTTTTAGCAAATCTTTATCAAATTGTGGTACTTCAACCTTGGGGTGCATTTCAGTGGTTGAGAGGGTTTATTTGGTGATGTTCTTAGAGTAAAGGTGTGTTTTCTGGGCTCTATTAGATGCATTTGGTCTGGAACTGGAAGTAAGAGAAAGTAAGAGGAGACTCATTCTTTTTCTCTCTATCTCAAAGTGTCTTGGAGTCTGCGTAAAAAGGAACAGCTCATTGCCAGGTGGAGCATCCTGCACAGAAGGTAAGCAGTTTAATTTTTCCTTACACACAGGATGTTCACTTTTTGGGGTTCTTTAATGAACAGTAAGAGAGGCTTTTTATTTTCATAATTATTTGTATTGATCTTAAGTGGTTATTGTTCTATACATGAATCAGAGACTATCCACTTTCTTTTTTCCTTTTATTTTTTGGTATTGCCAAGATTTGAAGCGGAGCGACACAGTGAGGCTGAGGGAAAGGAGGGGGGTGGGTAGCTCAGTGCGGGACTCCCTAATGCTCCTATGCAAGTTTTCTGTGCACACGGTTCTCTTGTGCTGCAGTATCCATTTCTATCCCCTTGCGGAGCTGCCTCAGCATCCAGGTTGAGATGCTTAAATCAGCTACCAGCTTTTGATAATGTCAACTTAGCTTGTTTTCTTTTGTTTGTTTTTTTGGTATCCGGATTAATAATATTTGGTGAAGTTGTGCTTCTGATATATGGATTGAATTAGTTTAAGGACTGCCACAACCTCTTTTAGTTTGGTCATGCATGTATATATTGTGGTTTCTGATGATGTGGTAAGATAAAACAAGGAATTGGCTCTCCATTTAATTGAGTCTGGTAATTTTATCTAGTTTTTCTGTTGTTACCTCTAGGGGAGGTGCGCCTGTTTGAGAGGGTTTCTTTCTAAACTTTCAGTAAGTAGTTGGAATAATGAAAATATGGTTAATGGTAAAGCAAACTGGACTTGAAAGATGAAATTTTGAAATACATTTTCTGCCATCTTTTTCTTACAATCCTCTACATCTGATTTATTCTACCGAGTTTGACCTTCATTATCTGCAAAAAAAAAGGGTATTAATGCTGTCCAGCAGTGGGCAGTGTGTTACCTCTGCACAATGGCCCACTGCACAAAAAGGAGCAAATAATGGACCCATGTGTGTTTTCCTGTGAGCAAAGCCCCATTAGAAATTTTAAAAGGTACAGCATGTGCTAACGGATGATTATTGTTTGAAACTAACCCTCCTCCTTATAAACCTTTGTTCTCGGTTTTGCGTCAAAATTGACCTAATTTCCTGATTGTTGATACAAGTTAAAAAAGATACGTAATTTTTGAAAAACAAGAAAATGAAAGCTCATCCATTTCAGCACCATGGACAGCGACTCACATCAGGTTTTTTTTTATTGCAGAGAAACTCTCACATTAATCGGTTTAGTAATTTATATAACTGTAACCTTGTAAGGTAAAAAAAAAACAGTTTATTTATTAATCTGTAACTCTTTGTGTGCATAGATATAGAGAGTAGAGAGTTTTATATAGAGAGTTTTTTTGTTGTCACTGATTCAGATTAAATAACCTACCTGCTGTCTAAGTTTTACTTTCATTACCCATTGTGCTCCATGTAGAAGTGTCTTCATTGTGGTGTTCTTCTTCCCCCTTTGTGGCTGCAAAGTGTCAAATAGTAACAGGAAAAAACAGCAGTGCTGCAGTAATGGCAACATTAATTCCAAAGATAAGAACAAGAACTAAAGACATTTTTTAAAATTCAAAGTGGAATGAAGCTGTCATAATTTTGTAACCGTATTCCTGTTTTGTTTCCTTTTTTTAGTTTTTAGCCAAACTCTCTTTAAGAACTATATGAGATAATTAATCTTCTCTGGCTTTTAATTCTTCCAGACTGAGATTTAGAGGCTGGTGATTATCTTGACTGGTCAATTGGTGAGGGAGCAACATAGCCTGTGCAGGCTGCTTGTCCATCACAGAAACACATGGGTCAAACAGGTCTTCGGTTAGCTGTATTGTCTGTATTGTGAGTTTTGTCCTACATTGATACTGTTGGACTGTTGGAGAGAGACAGGATATTTGGAAAGAAATCATGAACAGGGAGATGCAGACAAAAAGTCAATTTAGAAGTTCTCTGACAGAGTATGGAGACAGAGATGTGGCTACAAGGTAACAGTGCTAACTTGTGTCACTGTACAGACCTTATTGACAAATCTGAATATTATTTAAATACTGCAATATGAAAAATCGGTTTTTAACTAAACAAATGCCTTTACCTATTGAATAGGACTGTACATGAGGATCAATGATAAGGGCAAACAGCTGTGTGGGAAAGAAAATGTGATGCAAAGTTTTACTAATTTTTTAGAACAACAAAAAACATTTATGGGGTGCATGGTTTTAAATACCTTAAATATCTCCCATAAAAAAATATTATAATGGTTAGCATACTTGCTTTAATAAACAGCAGTGTTTGTGTTTCCTCTATACATCATGCGAACCCTTTACCTATGCTTTGAGATTTAAAAGCTCAAAAGGATAAAACAAAGCGACTTTGTCATACTCTATTTAGCACTCTGATATTATTTAATATTTTGCCCTCTCTCACAGTCTCATAGCCTTATAGAATCACAAATGCAGAAATGTTGCAGTGCAATATGTCCAATATAAGATAGTTTGGTAATGAATAGCTTTGAACAGATTGGTGCTTCTCTTACTTTTTTTTTTTAGAAATGACACTGATACTGTATACCACAAACTTTGAATCCTCTTCACTCAGTTGAAGAGCAGAGTACTCAAAAATCTGTGCTAAAAAAACCCTTCTTCAACATATACCTACTCAAGTAAAAGTAAAAAGTAGCTATCCAAGAAAATCCTCAATTAAGTCAAAAAGAGGTTGATTAAAGTCTACGCAAGTATTAATTCACTAACAACAACATCTGATTTGATAAATAAAAATCATACAATTAGTTAAAGAACATATATGCAAATGAAGGTATTTTGACTGACTAAAAGTTATAAAATATACTGTACTTTTATGTACTTTTACTTGTATTATATTGTATATTCAAACAATCTCCAGTACACCAGTAGCTCTCTTTGGTTGCATGTAAAGGCGAAAAGATCAAACGAGGCTTCACTGTTAACTTATTATATTATATTCCTGTGTTTTACACTTTGTTTGTTTCAAGTTGTTTGTAAACTTAAAGGTATTTGGTATTTACAATATAAGGCCTTGTGACCAGAATAGGAAGTAAATTCCCTGGTGGAGTTGTGGAAAAAGAGAAAAGCCCATAATATGTCGGATGTCAGGAGGGATAAGACATGGGGAGTGTTTGGAATACAATTTGAATGTCGGTGTTCACTGAAGCAGGATATAATTGCAACTGAAGCTGGCAATGTAATGAATGTGTGAGGAAGTACTGCCAGCAGATGGTGACTATGTACAGGATGTTTATGGCTGCTAATTGCTCCAGGTGAAGAAATGACTTTGAAGCTCAAAAAACACTAAGTAAACAGTTTCAGGATGAGTGGTTGCCATATATTGCTTTATTTTCACATAAATGTATGGTTTTTAACAGGTTTTCCTTTAGACATAAACTGTGATGTGTCTGGTACATGTTAAATTAAAGCAAGGTTGTTTTTTTCACATTATTTACAGGTTAATTACAGTGGGTCAACCAGACAGAATTGCCCCACACACAATTACTGTAGTAACCGTAAATGAGTAAATGTAACTGATTTCTACCACCGCTTATAACTGCATTGTTACAAGTAGTATCTGCTTGGTTTGGAAAATAAAAATACATTTAATTGTCTGGCCAGAGGGTTTCCAGTCATGGCTTACTGTCAACTGAATTCTCAGATTCAGTTCACCAGCAGATTTCTACGTGTGTCTACTGAAAACATCCATCCATCCATTATCTGACATGCTTGTCCAGAGTTGGGTCACAAGGGGTGCTGGTTGCCTATCTCCAGCAGTCAATGGGCGAGAGGCGGGGTACACCCTGGACAGGTTGCCAGTCCATTGCAAGGCAACACAGAGACACATAGGGCAAACAACCATTCACACACACTCACACCTAAGGAGAATTTAGAGAAGCCAATTAACCTAACAGTCATGTTTTTGTACTGAAAACATATACACTGAAATTTAGTAGGTGCTTAATGCCAGTGTTTTTAGAAAAACATTTAATGGCTTTAGATAATATAAGCCTGACACCAGCTGTGAAACAAAGCTTTGTTTCATGTCACGGTTGAGAGCAATCTGAATAGAGTCTCAGCAGGTCTCAGCTTACATATAAGGAAACTCACCAAGATAGTAATGATTAGAAACAAAAGTTCTTTAATAGGAGATGGAATGGGGCTCCCTGACTGTTTCATGAATTAGCCAGTTACTGTCATTTAACATGAACATAAAGTACGATGTCTGGGCATGGTCAACAGTTTCATATCAGAAAGAAGCCAAACTTATTTATATTTTCTTTAAAACATCACAACTGACCAAAGTGCTGAACAGACATAATACATAAGCATTAAAACTCACATACAAGAAGACTGTAGAAGAATGTTTTAAAGCTGCTTAATCAAAAAAAAAAAAAGTTTTCTCTGAAATAATAAAATAGCAGATTTAGAAATACACATAAAAAACTGTTTAATGTGCACTAGCAGTAAATTCCAAATCCTTGGCTTTGCCACAGAATCAGTTGTCCCTCTGAGCTTCCGCTATGTCCATAAGAAGCTGGTTTGCTGACCTTAATAAACGGGAGGGGCAATGTATTTGTTAACTCTCAAAGAGTTAGGTTTGTTTTAAATTAAATTTTGAAGTCAAATTAAACTATCTTAAAATGAACCTCATAATAGATAGGCAGTTGTTGCGATGAGGCTAAAACCAGTTAAATGTACCAGTTAAATGGTGTGCAGCTGCATTCTGCAACAGCTGGAGATGAGAAAAAAACAGAAGACTTTGGTACCCAATAGTATAGGCAGTTACAGTAATAGGGCTGTTTTATGTTACAACGTTTTTTTGTTTTGTTTTACTCAATCAAAATAAATAGCATTTTACGATTGAACTAAACAACCTGTCAAGATTAAAATCACTGTCTATTTTCACTCCTTGTAAGTCTGTTACAATAGGTTGTATATTGGGGAAAATACATCTTTAGTCAGCCACTGATTCTGCAAGTTTTCCTAGATGAGAGAGGTCTGTCATTTTCATCATATGGACACTAACTATTATTTTAACAAGAAATTTAAT